CCCCAAAACCCCAAAACCCCAAAACCCCTGAGGTTGGAGAAATTGTTGAGTTCAACCAGAATTTAAATATAAAAATGTGAGGATTTGGAATGCCGTTTGTTTGCACTTGAACTGAATATCAAAACAAATGTCATCATGCAGAACCTGAAGTGAGGACGACCACTAATTTAGGTGAACAGGAGACTTTCAGAGAGACTGAAAGTCAAGTCAAGTGCTCTTTTTGTCAAAGCAAATCTTCTTCTGGCCAAGATCTTCCAAGCAAGATTCACTCTAGAAATGAGGCTTCAAGAATTCTCCAGTTTGAGTCTGAGATCATTCAGAGATGTGAGCCTGAATTTGCAACTGTGACTGCAAAGTAAGCATAGGAGACTTATTAGTAGACAATTGCACACATTAAATGAAGGATTTCAAGCATCGTGTCGAACAAATGAAGTGATAGTTCAAACTAAGAGAGTATCTTCCAATAGTAAGACATTTCGAATCTATTGCTCTGATAATGCTCTGCTTCTGAAGCGACTTGCTTCTGAGCATTTGGCATTTGCTAACTAGCTTAGCAATAGGGGTTAGTTAACTTTAACCATAGCCAATCATTTAGAAACTAAACTCGCAGCCAATGTTGTTATTCCCGAAAACATGGCGTGAATTTGATTCTGGAACTTATGGCATGTTAGTGTAGCTTCTCATTGGATTTCTGGTGTTAACTCAGGTCATCTAGCACTCCAGCACCAAAGCACTGACAGAGCTAGCAGAGAACAACTTGAGTTGGGAGCAGACATCACATTGCCCAGATCTGAATTTAACGAGTGTATGGGCTATCTCACTTTTAGTCAAACAAGATATCAAGAATTTAATCCAAAAGAACCATCACACAGTCTCGCTCAGACTCAGCCATTTAGGAAACAGAATTGAAGGATTAGGTAAGCCGGTTGCATCTCTCTTGTTGTGGTCTGAACCTCTAACCTAGCATAGAACACAAGATTGATGGTACATATCTCTGAATAACTTCCAGGCATCCAACATGTTTGGAACTCGATGGCTGGATCCTTTGCAGCGTCTGAACAAATTGACCCTTCTGGGGATCCAAACAACATACATATGTGTAAGGATTCGATATTCTTGAGGTTGACCCAACTTGTGGTATCTTCGAAAGATAGAACATCGAGTCTAGCAGAGCAAGCCATATTTCTATGACTTGAATATATTCGAAATTTAGCCTGGAGAAATTATCGACCAATTTTGTTTCCATCGATAGAAATGATTCTGCCTGTTGAGACCTCGAAGGTTATTGAATTAGCCTGCTAAAGACAGTGTCAGACTTAATAGATTCGGGCTTCCAGTTGAGGCTGATAATTTAATGTTTTATTCTGGTCGAAACTTGTCTCATTTCATTATACACTTAAATGTTGTATAAACTTTCTATTCGAGTTGTGAGGGATATGCGAAGCGTTGGAAGTCAAGTGGGGTCAAGTTTGGAACAGCAATTCTAACTGACTCTTGACTAGCAAGATTGGTGTCTGTGCTAAAATACTTAGTTCCACACATCTCTCCAATAAGCTATACTACAAAGTTTTGCAAATAAAATTCGACCAATTCGCTTATAATAAGTGTAAATTTGTATCGTTTTGTGATTTCTTCAACCTTTGTATTATAGCTTTTGAAGAGTCGAAGTCTTCCACAAACCATCACGAGTTGTTCCAAAATGGTACTTTCTTGATGACTGTTGTAGATGAAAGGCTTCACAGAAGCAGACCAAGATGGATACCATGGTGGAGACTTCATTCATTTTACATACAAGTGGCATCAGAAACAGGAGAAGAAGACATTAAAGAGTAAATCAGAGAGGACTAAGCTTAATCACTGGAGACTCAAAAAACCCAGAGAGTGTTAGCAGTCTCACTGAGTCAAGAAGTGATCATAGCCCACTCATTCCAATTCAACGAGGATTGAGATAAAGCATTTTATAAGAGAATTTACACATTATTCATAAATTTCAATCTTTGGATTGGTCAACGGGGTTTTGGGGTTTTGGGGTTTTGGGGTTTTGGGGTTTTGGGGTTTTGGG